ATGAACGTGTCTCTGAACCTTAAAAGATGTCCATAAGGCAGCCAGTGTTCTCGGTGGGGTGTATATGTCTATCCTACAAGTGGTGGCGGTTGTGGTGGTGGTGGTGAGGGACTAAACGAAGCTGGGGTAAAAAACACACCCAATGGGGAGCTAAAGGGGCGTAAAGAATACAACATGTGGTGAAAAAGCTCATGGGACCATAAACAAACCGAGTGGTGAACACACCGTGTGGGGTATAGGGAGTGTATGAGTGCGGACAGCGAGTGGAGTTAACACATCATGTGAGGAGGAGCTAAATAAGGGGCAGAAACACAACATCAGGATGATTACATTAACTAGGGGATGATTGGAGGGTAGGATGATAACGAGTGAGGGAATGCAGCGTGAGGGAGGAGGTGAGGAGGGTTGGGAAGGATGGAGAGTGGCGGGTCACAACGTGTAGGGAGGAGGGAGAGAGGAGGAGGGATGGCATATATTTACCTCTCCAACCTTGGCGGGGCATGAAAACATAGAGAGGGAAGTGGGTCACAATGTTGCATGTCGAGTACAGCTAAACTTTTTACTAGGTCTCCTCTTACTGCCTTCACTTATTCGCCTCTGTCTGTCTCTACGTCTCTCTCTCTCTCACTTCCTCTTTCTCTCTTTCCTTAGTTATCAATATGAAACTTCTCAACCTCTTAGTTTTATTTCCCAAACTATTTCTTTAAAATAATCGACCTTTTCCTTCAGTAAGTATATTCGACTTTGTTTGTGTTCGACTATTCAACTTAACACAGTTTTTATTTTTTTTAATGCAATTCTAATACTTATTCTTAAGTAAAATTATTCAGCCTCTTATAAGATGATCTCAGTATTTTGTGTAAGCTTAGACTTCAGAGTTCATCTTTTTTAAATAAACAAGCTTTTGTTTTTGTGCATAATGTTCTTCTATGTTTAGGTTTTGTTAAATTAAAGCATTAAGACATTACTCATAATTTATCGTTTGTTTTAATTCTCGAGGCTTTTTTTTTTAGTCGACTCTTTTTAACAGTTGTTGGACAGTACAGCGACATTACTGATACTTTTATACGTGTTCCCCCAGGAGCCGGGCAGCCTTAGTGGAGTCTCTTAAAACCAGACTATTGCTCAAAGTCTTTTAATCTTTATGACCCTTGGTGATAAAAATGTTGTTGCATCTTTTAAAGTTATACCTCCGACTATATTTCATAACTGCAATAAAGTGCGTGTTCTCCTAGCATGGAATCTTATATACGTCTACTACAGTATATGTTGTCATCTATGTGTTCCGTCGTCTACTATATGTTGTCATCTATGTGTTCCGTCGTCTACTATATGTTGTCATCTATGTGTTCCGTCGTCTACTATATGTTGTCATCTATGTGTTCCGTCGTCCTATGTCATCTATTTCCCGTCTACTATATTTTCATCTATTTCCGTCTCTAATGTTGCATCTATGTTCCGTCGTTCTATATTTGTCTTGTCCGTCGTCTACTATATTTGTCATCTTTCTCTAATATTTTCATCTGTCGTCTACTATATGTTGTCATCTATGTGTTCCGTCGTCTACTATATGTTGTCATCTATGTGTTCCGTCGTCTACTATATGTTGTCATCTATGTGTTCCGTCGTCTACTATATGTTGTCATCTATGTGTTCCGTCGTCTACTATATTTTATCTATGTGTTCCGTCGTCTACTATATGTGTTCCGTCGTACTGTGTTCCTCTATGAGACAATGAGAGAGTGGTACGTGAAATAGATGATTCTAATCTTCCTCTGTGTTTAGCTGAAGAACCTACAATTATAACCTATTGTTTTTCTTTGAACAACTAAATCACGAGATGAACCCAACGCTTATTGACGAAGACACAAGACCGTGACAAAATTCCTGATGTACTGACGAAATAAACTTGGGAGGACAAGCAATTAATCCAACAAAGATTTTTAATTATTATTTTTTCTAAAGCTGTTCATGGTTGTGAAAAATGAAGCATGTCAATATCTTAATAAACTAACTGAACCCTTAAGGGCACTAAACTATTCTTATGTTAGACGAACCGGGTCGTTTTGATTACAAATTTAAAAGAAATCTCAAATGTTTTCCTCCACAGAACAAAATTAGAGTAATGTTTTCCACAGCTTCACCATCAGAGTTAATATCAGGAGGAAACTCTCGCTTCTCCTATACACAAAGACATGACGGCAGAGTTTACATCAAGACTCTAGTGGCTGTGATTAAAATACCCCGAAAAACAAAAAAAAAAAAAAAACAAAGCAAACATGAAGGATTTTGTTTATCCTCAGTAAGAAATGATGACGAAATCCCCTGTGTTCATTTAAAGTTGCTCTGCTTGTCTGTTTTACCTCCCGAGTTATATATACCTCCGAGTGAGTTATTTACCCCAATAGCCCACTCACTACAGAACAACTAACTTTATATAATACAGGATATATAACAATAAATTCAGAGTAACAGAATTACACCAAATCTATACAAGAAGCTGCATTAAGTCAAACATATCGGAGTATATTAACGAATCCTTCAGTAATGACATGTCGGGAATATCTGATCGTAAAACATAAGATATTTTTCCTTAGACTGTTGACTTTGTAATTAATGTGTGTGTGTGTGTGTGTGTGTGTGTGTGTGTGTGTGTGTGTGTGTGTGTGTGTGTGTGTAGAAGAGATTTACTCATCATACAAGTTGTCATCCTTTAGTTCACGTCTTCCCGTCATCGTCAGTAACTATCAACACAAGTCACACACGTTACAGCTCCTCTAGACAAAACAACGTTGACAAGATGTTGGCAGTAAGAGGAACCATAGCAAAAAAGCAACAGTTCATTAGCAAGCGATAAATGCATCATACTCTTTTTTTTTTTTAATTATATAGTGAGCAAGCCACCTCATAAGCCACCTCATGCGTCGTTTAAGAGGAGCTTGGACAAAGCTGCGAAGACATATTTAAAGCCACAGTCGTGAGGTCACAGTGAACAAGGTAATGAAGTTGACCTCCTTACTCCTAGTGATATAAAGGGATAATAGTAAATATCTAATTCACCCGAGATTTTGTTGAGTTGAATCTAATTATTTTTTCTTTAATTCATAAGATGCCTGGACAGATAAATTCTTATACTGTACACACAAACGGACGGACATATGAAAATCTGACGACATGTAAAACTGAATGAAAGCAAAAAAAAAAAAAAAAATCACTTTATTATTACAAAATATTGGGACATGAAAGCGAGTCGGGACTGTTTATATATAGTTGGGGGAGGAAGTTCTCTGTGTTTATTATTGAATATTAATAATTTAAACTGAAATTATTGTACAGAGAAAAAAAAAGTTAATTGGTACAAGAAGAAATACAGGTGAATTTTTTTGTAATCAGGTATAAAAAGGATTTAAAGAGTTAAGGAGGACAATCACACTCGTCTATTGTAACAAGAAACTTAATGCGTTGTATTGATCTCTGATGATGAGGGTAACAACTAAAACATATATATTTTTTGTACGATGGCGAAGTTTGGTAACCGATTAAGACAAACATTTAATAACTTGGGTGACTGACTGACTGACTTCATGGTTTCCCAGACTTTTAAATGTCTACTTTACCATCTATCGAATTTTGTTGAAGCCGGAATGTGGAGGACATTAATTCCTTGTTATCATTCGTCGGTTCGGAAACATGTCGGAGGTGAAGTATTAGACCCGCCCGAGTAGCATTCGTCACAACCAAGGTCTCCCCAGCCACACGTGAGGTCACGACTGGGCGTCAAAGATGCGCGTGTGGAGAGAAAGGCAAGCATAGAGGAGGTGAGGCTCCTCCCCGCAGGGATTTGCGTAAGACACCATAGCCTATACTTACCAACGTATGGCGCAGCATCTTTTTTGTGTAATACATTGGTTAGAATGGAATAGGTGACAATTGAGATATTGCACATAATCCAACAAAAATACACGAGTGCAAAGTAAAAAAGAGAAATGTTTGGCAAGTCTGAGATAGTAATAAACTCTACTCCGATGTGTGGTGAGATGAGTCGTTTAGATTTTATTATCATTTTATTTTTTTGGTGGGGAGGAGGTGGAGGGGAGACAAGGATATTAGTTTTGAGTTCATAAAAACAAAATCGTTCAGACGTTCAGAGCAACGCAATGATGTTCTTGCTAAAGCCTATTAGAGTGTGATAACCCAGCCGAAGCTGTAGTATCAACTCCAGCACAACGTTACAACACCGCAGTAATTGAATGATTCCTTTGCTGTTACAAAAAAGGATCCAGTCAAATTCAGTTATTGCTCTGAACAGAAGTGATAATGAAGCGTCTGATTTTGTTTTAGTCACGAGGTTTGGACCCATATTAATACAATACAGAATTACAGGTCTCGTCTGAAGGAAGGTTACCTGCTGGTTCAGCCCGAAAGAAACAACTCCAGACCGAAAAATAAAAATAACAGTAATTTCCTCAGTGTTAAATTGTCTTGTGATTTATGACAGTAAAATATTGAAAGAAATGCCAAGATGACGACTTAAATTACAGGTACGACAAAGGTAAGAAATTAATTACTAAAACAAGGACTTAAAGTGTGTAAAGGATAAAAGAGACTTAACGTTTGAATGATAAGTGACTATATAAAGGTAAATCGACAGGCTATAAAATTTTTAACAAATCAAACGTCGTAAAACTCCACATGACAAATACTTTCATCATCAACGTTGAATTAAATGAAAATTAATTCGAAATAATTAACTCCCATTCATTAAAACAAAGACGATACATAAAAAATTAATTAAAAAATCTAATTATATCCAAACCTCTTCAAACAAAACACAACCAAACAACTTTTTTTTTTTCAATAGTCATCATCAATTATTTCCCAAAAAATCAAATTTCTCTCTATAACAAAGACTCATCAAACCACAGCCATCTATTGTTCTCTCCAGAATATTTGAGCAGACAACAAGATAAGTAAGTGATAGTGGGAGTAGGGAACCTCACCCTGGGGTGTCCGGAACTCGATGGTGGTGGAGAGGCGGTCCTGATTCCTACTGGCCTTCTCGTCGAACTGCGGCGCCCGAAGGTTCTTGGCTCTGATGGTCACACGGTAGGTGGTGTTGGGAGACAAACCTGTGAGGTGGTGGTAGATGGTTATTGTTGGTGGGTGGTTGGTGATTGTTGTTGTTGGTAGTGGTGGTAGGTGGTTATTGTTGGTAGTGGTGGTAGGTGGTTGTGTTGGTGGGTGGTTGGTGATTGTTGTTGTTAGTAGTGGTGGTAGATGGTTATTGTTGGTGGGTGGTTGGTGATTTTGTTGTTGGTAGTGGTGGTAGGTGGTTATTGTTGGTAGTGGTGGTAGGTGGTTGTTGGTGGGTGGTTGGTGATTGTTTGTTGGTAGTGGTGGTAGATGGTTATTGTTGGTGGGTGGTTGGTGATTGTTGTTGTTGGAAGTGGTGGTAGGTGGTTATTGTTGGTAGTGGTGGTAGGTGGTTATTGTTGGTGGTGGTGGGTGATCGGTGATTGTTATTGTTGGTAAGGTGGTAGATGGTTATTGTTGGTGGTGGTGGGTGGTCGGTGATTGTTATTGTTGGTAATGGTGGTGGGTGGTTATTGTTGGTAGTGGTGGTAGGTGGTTATTGTTGGTTGTGGTGGGTGGTTGGTGATTGTTGTTGTTGGTAATGGTTGTAGATTGTTATTGTTGGTAGTGGTGGTAGATGGTTTTATTGTTGGTGGGTGGTTGGTGATTGTTGTTGTTGGTATGGTTGTAGATTGTTATTGTTGGTAGTGGTGGTAGGTGGTTATTGTTATTGGTGGTGGTAGGTGGTTATTGTTGTTGGTGGTGGGTGGTCGGTGATTGTTATTGTTGGTAGTGGTGGTAGATTGTTATTGTTGGTAGTGGGCAGGTGGTTATTGTTGTTGGTGGTGGGTGGTCGGTGATTGTTATTGTTGGTAATGGTTGTGTTATTGTTGGTAGTGGTGGTGGTTGTTATTGTTGTTAGTGGTGGTAGGTGGTTGTGTTGGTGGGTGGTTGGTGGTTATTGTTGGTGGTGGTTGGTGATTGTTGTTGTTGGTAATGGTTGTAGATTGTTATTGTTGGTAGTGGTGGTAGGTGGTTATTGTTGTTGGTGGTTGGGTGGTCGGTGATTGTATTGGTTAATGGTTGTAGATTGTTGTTATTGTTGGTAGTGGTGGTAGGTGGTTATTGTTGGTTGTGGTGGGTGGTTGGTGATTGTTGTTGTTGGTAATGGTGGTAGGTGGTTATTGTTGGTAATGGTGGTAGGTGGTGGTTGTGTTGGTAGTGGTGGTAGGTGGTTATTGTTGGTAGTGGTGGTAGGTGGTTAGTGTTGGTGGTGGTGGGTGGTCGGTGATTATTGTTGGTAATGGTTGTAGATTGTTATTGTTGGTGGTGGTGGTAGATTTTGTTGGTAGTGGTGGTAGATGGTTATTGTTGTTGGTGGTGGTGGTCGGTGATTATTATTGTTGGTATGGTTGTGGGTGTTATTGTTGGTAGTGGTGGTAGATTGTTATTGTTGGTAGTGGTGGTAGGTGGTTATTGTTGTTGGTGGTGGGTGGTCGGTGATTGTTATTGCTGGTAATGGTTGTAGGTGGTTATTGTTGTTGGTGGTGGGTGGTCGGTGATTGTTATTGTTGGCAGTGGTGGTAGGTGGTTTATTGTTGGTGGTGGGTGGTCGGTGATTGTTATTGTTGGTAATGGTTGTAGGAGGTTATTGTGGTGGTGGTGGGTGGTCGGTGATTGTTATTGTTGGTAATGGTGGTAGGTGGTCATTGTTGTTGTTGGTGGGTGGTCGGTGATTGTGTGTTGGCAGTGGTGGTAGGTGGTCATTGTTGTTGGTGGTGGGTGGTCGGTAGTTATTTGGTATGGTTGTAGGTGGTCATTGTTGTTGTTGGTGGTGGGTGGTCGGTGATTGATGTTGTTGGTAATGGTTGTGGAGGTTGTTGTTGGTGGTGGTGGGTGGTCGGTGATTGTTATTGTTGGTAATGGTGGTAGGTGGTTATTGTTGGTGGGTGGTCGGTGATTGTTGTGTTGGTAATGGTGGTAGGTGGTCATTGTTGTTGGTGGTGGTGGTCGTTGATTGTTATTGTTGGTAATGGTTGTAGGTGGTTATTGTTGGTGGTGGTGGGTGGTCGGTGATTGTTGTTAGTAGTGGTGGTAGGTGGTCATTGTTGTTGGTGGTGGGTGGTCGGTGATTGTTATTGGCATGGTTGAGGAGGTTATTGTTGGTGGTGGGTGGTCGGTGATTATTATTGTTGGTAATGGTTGTAGGTGGTTATTGTTGGTAGTGGTGGTAGGTAGTTGTGTTGGTAGTGGGTGGTCGGTGATTGTTATTGTTGGTAATGGTGGTAGGTGGTTATTGTTGGTGGTGGTGGGAGTTGTATTTGGTGGTGGTGGTGGTCGGTGATTGATATTGTTGGTAATGGTTGTAGGTGGTTATTGTTGGTGGTGGTGGGTGGTCGGTGATTGATATTGTTGGTAATGGTTGTAGGTGGTTATTTTGTTGGTGGTGGGTGGTCGGTGATTGTTAGCAGTGGTGGTAGGTGGTTATTGTTGTTGGTGGTGGGTGGTCGGTGATTGTTATTGTTGGTAATGGTTGCAGGTGGTTGTTTGGTGGTGGTGGGTGGTCGGTGATTGTTATTGTTGGTAATGGTGGTGAGTTGGTTATTGTTGGAGTGGTGGTAGGTGGTTATTGTTGGTGGTGGTGGGTGGTCGGTGATTGATGTTGTTAATGGTTGTAGGTGGTGATGGTGGTGGTGGGTGGTCGGTGATTGATATTGCTGGTAATGGTTGTAGGTGGTTATTGTTGGTGGTGGTGGTTGGTCGGTGATTGTTATTGTTGGTAATGGTTGTAGGTGGTTATTGTTGGTGGTGGTGGGTGGTCGGTGATTGTTGGTAATGGTGGTAGATTGTTGTTGTTGGTGGTGATGGGTGGTCGGTGATTGTTATTGTTGGTAATGGTTGTAGAGTGGTTATTGTTGGTGGTGGTGGGTGGTCGGTGTTGATATTGTTGGTAATGGTTGTAGGTGGTTATTGGTGGTCGGTGTTGTTGTTGGAATGTGAGTGATTGTTGTTGTTGTTGGTAGTGATGAGTGGTTATTGTTGGTAATATTGGTACATTGTTATTGGTAGCGGTGGTGGTGGATATTGTTGATGATGGTGGTAGGCGTTTGTGATGGTATATTGTTGGTAGTGGTGGTAGCGGGAGGTGGAGCTTGTTGTTGTTGTTGGTAGTGGTGGTGGCGGAGGTAGAGGTCTTGTTGTTGTTGTTGGTAGTGGTGGTGGTGGAGGTAGAGGGTCTTGTTGTTGTTGGTAGTGGTGGTGGCCTGGAGTGGTGGTCTTGTTGTTGTTGTTGTTGTTGGTAGTGGTGGTGGCCGGAGTAGGAGTCTTGTTGTTGTTGTTGGTAGTGGTGGTGGCTGGAGAGTAGAGGTCTTGTTGTTGTTGTTGGTAGTGGTGGTGCCGGGAGAGTAGAGGTCTTGTTGTTGTTGTTGGTAGTGGTGGTGGCCTGGAAGTAGGGGTCTTGTTGTTGTTGTTGTTGGTAGTGGTGGTGGCCGGGAGAGTAGAGGTCTTGTTTTGTTGTTGTTGGTAGTGGTGGTGGCCTGGAGTAGAGGTCTTGTTTGTTGTTGGTAGTGGTGGTGTGGTAGGTGGGTCTTGTTGTTGTTGTTGGTAGTGGTGGTGGCCTGGAGAGTGGGTCTTGTTGTTGTTGTTGGTGGTAGTGGTGGTGGCCTGGAGGTAGAGGTCTTGTTGTTGTTGTTGGTAGTGGTGGTGGCCTGAGAGTAGAGGTCTTGTTGTTGTTGTTGGTAGTGGTGGTGGCCTGGAGGTAGGTCTTGTTGTTGTTGTTGTTGGTGGTGGTGGTTGCCTGGAGAGTAGAGGTCTTGTTGTTGTTGTTGGTAGTGGTGGTGGCCTGGAGGTAGAGGTCTTGTTGTTGTTGTTGGTAGTGGTGGTGGCCTGGAGTAGAGTTCTTGTTGTTGTTGTTGGTAGTGGTGGTGGCCTGGAGGTAGAGTTCTTGTTGTTGTTGTTGGTAGTGGTGGTGGCCTGGAGGTAGAGGTCTTGTTGTTGTTGTTAGTGGTGGTGGTGGCCTGGAGAGTAGAGGTCTTGTTGTTGTTGTTGGTAGTGGTGGTGGCCGGGAGAGTAGAGGTCTTGTTGTTGTTGTTGGTAGTGGTGGTGGCCTGGAGTAGAGGTCTTGTTGTTGTTGTTGGTAGTGGTGGTGGCCTGGAGAGTAGAGGTCTTGTTGTTGTTGTTGCTGGTAGTGGTGGTGGCCTAGAGTAGAGGTCTTGTTGTTGTTGTTGGTAGTGGTGGTGGCCTGGAGTAGAGGTCTTGTTGTTGTTGTTGGTTGGTGTGGGAGGTAGAGGTCTTGTTGTTGTTGTTGTTGGTAGTGGTGGTTGCCTGGAGTAGAGGTCTTGTTGTTGTTGTTGGTAGTGGTGGTGGCCGGGAGGTAGAGGTCTTGTTGTTGTTGTTGTTGGTAGTGGTGGTGGCCTGGAGAGTAGAGGTCTTGTTGTTGTTGTTGTTGGTAGTGGTGGTTGTCAGGGAAGTGAGGTCTTGTTGTTGTTGTTGTTGGTAGTGGTGGTGGCCGGAGAGTAGGAGTCTTGTTGTTGTTGTTGGTAGTGGTGGTGGCCCGGGAGTAGAGGTCTTGTTGTTGTTGGTAGTGGTGGTTTGGAGGTGGGTCTTGTTGTTGTTGTTGGTAGTGGTGGTATTCGAGAGTAGGAGGTCTTGTTGTTGTTGTTGGGTGGTGGTACGAATAGAGGTCTTGTTGTTGTTGTTGTTGGTAGTGGTGGTTGCCTGAGAGTAGAGGTCTTATTGGTGGTGGTGGCCGGGAGAGTAGAGGTCTTGTTGTTGTTGGGTAGTGGTGGTGCCCGAGTAGAGTGAGGTCTTGTTGTTGTTGTTGGTGGTGGCTGCTGAGAGAGAGGTCTGTTGTTGTTGTTGGTGGTGGTACGGGAGTAGAGGTCTTGTTGTTGTTGTTGGTAGTGGTGGTGGCCGGGAGAGTAGAGGCCTTGTTGTTGGTAGGTGGTTGCCTGGAGTGAGGTCTTGTTGTTGTTGTTGGTAGTGGTGGTCGGGAGAGTAGAGGTCTTGTTGTTGTTGGTGTGGTGGGGTGTTTTGTTTGTTGTAGTGGTGGTGGCGG